TGTCTCAGAAGAGAGGTCTGGGGGCCATCCCCGACACCCCCCGGAGGCAGCCCCCAAACGGCGAGCGAGGTCACAGGTGCGGCGACTGCGGCAAGTTTTTCCTGCAGGCGTCCAACTTCATCCAGCATCGGCGCATCCACACGGGCGAGAAGCCCTTCCAGTGCGCCGAGTGTGGCAAGAGCTACAACCAGCGGGTGCACCTGACGCAGCACCAGCGTGTGCACACGGGGGAGAAGCCCTACGCGTGCCAGGTGTGCGGGAAGGCGTTCCGCGTGAGCTCCCACCTGGTGCAGCACCACAGCGTCCATAGCGGCGAGCGGCCCTACGGCTGCAGCGAGTGCGGGAAGAGCTTCGGCCGCCACTCCCACCTCATCGAGCACCTCAAGCGCCACTTCCGAGAGAAATCCCAGAGATGTACGTGCGCCGATGGGGAGGGCGGCGGCCAGGGGTGGGGATGACAGCTGCGTGCTTCCTGCCCCTCCCCCCCCCCAGGGTACCCACGCCACCATTTCCCGGGGTCCTGGCTCTCATACAGCTCACTGCACACTTCTGCACGGTGCAGCTCTGGCTCGCGTGTCAGTCATAGACATTGTTCTTTGTCTGTTGTGAATGAATGTGACTTTTTGCCCATCTTCCCCCTTCTTCAGATCTAGGATTTTCACATTTTGAGGGGACAGAGGCACACACCCAGTGGTGCTCAGGGCTTACTCCTTGCTCTGCACTCAGGGATCACTCCTGGAAATGCTTGGGGGACCATAGGGATGCCACGATTGACCTGGAGACAAGTTCTCTACCCGCTGTTCTGTGTCTCCAGCCCCTATTTCGCTATATTTTAAGAGGATGATAGAGCAGGAGGTTTGGAAGAAGTTGGGAGATTAAAAACCTGCTCATGACTTAAGGTGGATATTCCAACTAAAATGAACAGATAAAATCTGGAAAAAGCACACACACTGGCAAAACCCAGCAAAACTTAACTCCTGTAGCGGGTGAAAACCAATGATTGCTGGCAGGAAAGGGGAGGAGGAGTTCTCGGGGGACCTATGTAGGGTGCCAGGAATTGAATCCAGGTCAGCTGCATGCAAGGCAAGCACCCTGCCTGTTGTACTATAGCACCTGCCACAAGTTCTTCTACAGAAGAAAACTGAGTGTGGGGTAGGGTGAGTTGATGAAATACTGCTGGAGTCGGAGTCTTAGAGGAGCAAAATGGACAAGACAAGGACGAGGCATCCCAGATGGTCCCCCCCTTCACTAACAGGAGTAATCCTTGAGCTTTACCGGGTGTGGCCCCCCCAACCCCCCCCCCCCAAAAAAAAAAGAATAGACCTGATGACATTTGTGTTGCCTCTTATTCTTTCAGGCAGTGACAAAAGAAGTAAGAATCCAAAATTGAATATGAAGAAGAAACTGCCGGGACTTTCAGAAGCAGCCCTGGAACTTTCAGGAAGAATCCAGAGAAATGTTCCTCCAGAGCCTGACTATGGAGAAGGCCCTGAACCCCAAGACGAGCAGGACTGCAAGCAGGGGACACCCATGAAAGAGATTCAGGGACAGCCCCCTTCCAAGACGCTCAGTTTCAGCGAAGTCATCTACACCCCTAAAAAGTCCTCGGCAGGAGAGAGACCCCATAAGTGTGACGAGTGTGGGAAAAGCTTTATTCAGAGCGCGCACCTCATCCAGCACCAGCGCATCCACACGGGCGAGAAACCGTTCCGGTGTGACGAGTGTGGCAAGAGCTACAACCAGCGGGTGCACCTGACGCAGCACCAGCGGGTGCACACGGGGGAGAAGCCGTACACGTGTCACTTGTGCGGGAAGGCGTTCCGGGTGAGGTCGCACCTGGTCCAGCACCAGAGCGTCCACAGCGGCGAGCGGCCCTTTAAGTGCAGCGAGTGCGGGAAGGGCTTCGGGCGGCGCTCCCACCTGGCGGGGCACCTCAGGCTTCACTCGAGAGAGAAGCCCCACCAGTGCCATGAGTGCGGGGAGATCTTCTTCCAGTCCGTCAGCCTGATGGAGCACCAGATGCTGCACACGGGCCCCGGGACTGAGCAGCGCGGCCTGCAGGACAACTCCTATGGTTGGGACCTGATGACAGGAGACCTGAAGGTCGAGCTGCCGGGGCAGCCTCACCAGTGTGATGTGTGTGGCAAGGGCTTCATTTATGCTGCAGACCTCATCCAGCATTACCAAACTCACAGCCCAGAGCCAGCCTCACAGTGCCGTCTCTGTCCGGAGGGTGTGGGCCAGTGTTCGCACATAAAATTGTCCCCCAAAACTTATTCCAACGCCAAATCCCACGAATGTAGTGAATGCGGCAAGGGCTTCAGCTTGAAGTCACACCTTAGTCAGCACCAGCGAATGCACACAGGTGAGAAGCCCTTTCAGTGTAAGGAGTGCGGCGTGAGCTTCAGCTGGAGCTGTAGCTTCTTCAGACACTTGCGGAGCCACGAGCAGAAGGAGCACCTCAAACTGTGAGGGTGTCAGTCTCCCACAGCCGGCCCACGCAGAGGCTGGACCTCAGCCTTCAGGAGCAATGGGGGGTCCGTGGTGATCTGTCTGCTGTCCCCTGGAGAAACGCGTCCGTCAGCATCTCTGTGCACAAGCATCCTGACAGGAATGAACCTGTGGGTGTGACGGAGTGCGAGGGCCCCTGACTCAGTACCTCGGAACATGAACGCTGGGGAAACCTCACAAATGTGGTAGGAACCAGCTTGCTTTGTAGTTTCTGCCTTGTGAAACAGCGCATCTGTCCAGGGAGGAGCACTACAGAAGAGCAAGCATTTCAGTACAAGCATTGTTTGGTCCCTCAGTACTGAGCCCTTTCTAGAATCCACTGACCTAGCTTCTAGAATCCTCTGGTCTCTTAAGTATTAAACCCTTTGAAAAGAAATTGACTTAAGGTTTTGTATTTTGGCGGAGTTGGGGCTTGGCGGGTCAGGTTCTGCTTCTGCTGTCTTGTTCAGTCTGCACCTGCTCCGGAGACACACTCCACTGCCATGTGGTGAGACTCTCCTGGCAGCATGGTCAGCTGGCAGAGTGGGAAGTGACGAAGTCCCGGGGAAACGTGCTTCTGTCACAGCATGAGGGAAACTGCAGGGGAGCAGAGTAGACAAGCAGACGGGGCAGTGTCTGCTGTTCACCCCTAGAAGGGTTTTTCTTTCTGGGTCACACCCAGTGATGCTCAGGGGTTACTCCTGGCTCTGTGCTCAGGAATTACCCCTGGTGGTGCGTGGGGGACCATATGGGATGCCAGGGATTGAACCCGGGTTGGCTGCATACAAGGCAAATGCCCTACCTGCTGTACTATTGCTCGGCTGTACTATCAGGAACAACCTTGTTAACTGTATCTTATGGGAAGGAGCCAGGGGAAGATAACGAGGCCGGGCTCAGGTGAGCCTGTGTGAGGGGGAAGAGCCCTGAGTAGCAAGGCCTGGTCCTACTGCCCACCTGGGTTACAGTAGGTACTGGCTTTCCTGCCCTCCCCCAGCTGTTTCACACCCACAGTGTTTGTTTTGAAATCAAGGTGTGCCCCCAGATAAATGGAACTGCCTTCTTCAGGAGTTGTTATGGTTGTTTTGTTTTTTGGGGGTTTTGGGTCATACCCAGGTATGCTCAGAGTTACTCCTTCTGGCCCTGAACTAAGGGATCACTCCTGCCTCCTGGTGTTGCTCGGTGGACCACATGGGATGCTGGGGATTGAACCGGGTCAGCCACGTGCAAGGCAAGTGCCCTGCCCACTGTACTATAACTCTGGCCCCAGTTGTCTTATTTCCTGGGTGTTTTGGTTATCATGGAGACGGGTGGCTGGGGTTTTGGGCCATATCCAGTGTTGCTTGGGGTTTACTCCTGGCTTCGCACTCAGGGGTCACTCTAGCTAGCTTGGGACCATATGGATTATCAGGGATTTAACCTGGGTCAGGCAGAGCGATAGCACACCAGGTAGGGCGTTTGCCTTACACACGGCCAACCTGGGTTCGATTCCTCTGTCCCTCTCTGAAAGCTTGGCAAGCTACCGAGGAGTATCCCGCCCGCACGGCAGAGCCTGGCAAGCTACCCGTGAAGTATTCGATATGCCAAAAACAGTAACAAGTCTCACAATGAAGACATTACTGGTGCCCGCTCGAGCAAATCGATGAACAACAGGAGGACAGTGAACCCGGGTCAACTATGTGCAAGACAAGCACACTACCTATTGCACTATTGCTCCAACCCCTTTAGTCTGTTTTGTTTTGGGGCCACACGCAGCTATGCTCAGGTGTTACTCCTGGCTCTGTACTCGGGAATTACTCCTGCAGTGCTTGGGGGTCATGTGGAATACTAGGGATCGAACCTGGGTCGGCCACATGCAAAGATGGTCTCTAGTGTGATGGGTGCGCTTGCCTGTTCATTTCAGTTCATCCCAGTCAGGAACACATGAAGACAAGCTCCACCTGCTGTGCTGTCACTCTGGTCTGAGTGTGCTTTATTTGAGAGCCAGTGAAACTTTAGTATAGGGACTGCCCTATAATTCCATTAACTGTGGCAGGAATCTGAGCTGAAATAAATGCATTGCCAGGGCAGATGGGGTCAAGCCATGGTTCACATCTAAAGTCGCATCCTGCCTGGAATTAGGCAGGAAAGAACCCATAGGCCCCTGGATGGTGAGTAACTGAACATAAGGGCAACATCCTAAAAGGCAGGTGGGCAGCCCGGGTACAGATGCAAGTGAAGAAGTGGTAAGAGTGTTCTTTCCCCAAGCTGCCAGTGACTCATTGGAGGAGATTCTGCATCACTACTCTGAATATACATTTATGTGTAAAAGGAACCGACTTTATTAAGTTAAATATAGTAATACCTTGTTAAAAAAAATGCCTTAAATACAAAACCACAGTTCAGTAAGACTGTCATTTTGGGGGGGGGGGGGGGGAGTTGGATGCTCTCAATCAATGTTCTGGGGACCACACCCAGAGACACTCTGACCCAGAGGCCAGCTGGTTCAGTAGTCAGGCCTGCTGATGTGCTGTTGCTTGGGCCCAGAGGTGCTGGGTTAGGACTCGGGGCCTCCTCCTGCTAGGCTATGCTCCAGCCCTCTGAGCCGTCTCCCCTCCCAGCCCTACAGATGTCTCTAGTGTGATGGGTGCGCTTGCCTGTTCATAAGTTCATTCCAGTCAGGAACACATGAGGACAAGGCTACACGCATGTCAGGGGCGCTATTGAGTCTGTTTCTTTTCTTTGTCTTTAACCGAGTCAAGATAGAAAATCCGAGCTCACACAAAGAGGTACTTGTGAATGGCAGTAAGAGCAACACGCTCTTTCTACTTAGCAATGGATATTCATCCTGAATCTTAATCCAAAATGCCGACAGGCTTAATGTCTTATAATAATTCTTCAGTGTGAATGATGAACTAAGTTGCAATAATTCATTTTCTTCTCCAGGCACCAAGTTTAACTCAATGATCGATTCTGGGGCTTGAAAAGCAAATGGATCTTTCATCCAAATATTCTCTTTTAATGATGCAAATTTCTCCTCTGGGAAATAGTGACCAAAAGTTTGAGACAGGGAAGTCAGGTGCCGCAGTATCTCTGACTTTATTTCCTGTAAGCAGGCCTCATGAATAACATTTTCCTCGACATGTTGCAACAATGTGGGGAACATGTAGTAGCTTGGGCGAGGACCCTGCAGTCTGTCTTGCCACAACAGTAATGTCTTTTGGAACCCATGAATATGTTCAAGATACTGAAATATATTACTGTTTCTCCCCTGTAGTTTCAAACTTAATTCCTCAAGAATGCTAAAAACATCACATAAATAGGCCAATTTTGTTATCCAAACGTCATCTTCGAATACAGTTGCCAAATGAGATTGCTTTTCCATGAGGAAAATGTAAATCTCATTCCGGAGCTCATAGACCTTGCTCAGTATTTTGCCTTGCGACAACCAGCGGACTTCTGTGTGAAATAGTAAGTGGGTATGGTTGACTCCGATCTCCGAACAGAATATTTCAAGAAGTCGGCTGTTTAACGGGCTTCCTTTAATAAAATTAACAATCTTCACTGCATTTCTCAATACCTCCATCAGGCTGGGTGGTATTTCTTTGGACACTAGAGCTTCTCGATGAATAAAACAGTGATTCCAAAGAGCACAGCTACGGGTGGCCTCTAACAACTTTTCAATAACTCTGCTGTGTTTTCCAGTCATATATGCTGCTCCGTCACTCGTGATTCCTTTACAATTTTTCCAGTTTAGCTTATATTGCCCAACAATGCACTTTTCTAATTCAGCAAATAAGTCAAGTCCACTTCGGTGGGAGTTTAAGTTTAGACAACACAGGAGATCCTCTATGAAATCGTCTTGCCACACGTATCTGACATAAACCAAGAGCACTGGGTAACTGGCAATGTCTGTGTTCTCATCCAGCTGGATTGCAAAATCAAGCCCAGACTGCAGCCGTGTGATGAGCATGGACTCTAGGTGTTTCGCAATAGTACAGATGCGACGTGAAATGGTATTATCACTAAGCGGGATCGTTCTTAATTTATCAGCTGACTTATCGTCAAAAATTGTACGGACCATATCCATACACGCCGGAAGGATAACTTTTTCTGCTGCAGTGTGAGCCATTTTTTCTTTTGCCACACGGTAAGCAACTAAATAGGATGACAGTAAGGCTCTCTCGTTCATAGTTGTGGAGCGGCCAAAACATTGTGGGATTAGCTCGGAGTTACTGCCTTTCCTCTGGAAATGGTCTTCCTCATCGTCCTCTTCCTCTTCCACTTTCACGATCACGAGGCCTTCCATCTCCTGGGTGGCCTGGGAAGAAAGACCTGTGGGATCCCTGGATTCGGCGGTCATTATTCAGGTTCAAGAAATGGTGTCACTTGATCCAGCTGAGGGCTGTTTGCAGCACTCGCCTTTCTGTCCTAGGAAGTGGTTCATGAAATTGGCCTTCACTCTCCTGCAGGGTAGGGGATGGTAGGGAGTGTTAAAGTTAGTCTGCTAACACTGCAAACAAGTATTTGTGAAGGCAATTTACCAAATCCAGTAGTGTGACATGGTGTGTGTCAAGAGGCTGCCATTCAACTAGCTCTGTGCCACCCAGATCTGGCATGTGAGGCACCAGTGCCTCTTGTACCATGGAAACCTAACAAGGTCCACAATTGTCATTGCCGTTTTACAGATGAAGCAGAGCTCGCAAAGATTAAATAATGTGTCTAGCAATAGAGCTTGTGTGGAAGAGCTAGTATTGAAAACTCAAGTCTGAAGCCCAGGGTGCTATGTTGTCATTGCCATCCTGTCACTCTGAGAGTGACCTGGCCACTGAAAAGTGACCAGTCACAACATGGTGTATGAGCTGAGTCATGGGGCACAGGGAAGATGACTTGTCTGTATTTCTCCCTTCCTGATAACAATTTTTCTTGGGTCGCCATTTATATTCTTGTTTTTTTTTTTTTTTTTAATGTAGGAGTACTGCTATTTATTCAGTCACTGATTAGGCTGATTGAATTGGGCATGAACTCCTTACTTTTTTTTTTCATTTTTTATGATTTTATTTATTGAATCACCTTGAGAGCAGTTACAAAGCTTTTGGGTTTAAGTCTCGATCATACAATGAAACACCCATACCTTCACCAGAGCCACAAAACCCCAGTATACCCCCATCCCACACCCTCCCCCTACCTGTGAGGTAGATGATTTCCACATTACTCTCTCTCTACTTTGATTATATTCAATAGTTTGACACCAGACCCACCATTATTATTTGGGATTTTACCCCAACACTCAGATCTGCCGAAAAGGCAACAGTAGACAATTTGTTTTCTATTGCTGGTTATGAATAACATTTGATGTCATGTGACTGCAGTAGTGGCCGCATGATTTTGAAATTCCAACGTTTCAACAAATCTCGGGGGATTTCTGCCAAAACCTGCTGGGTTCCGAGATTTGTTCCAGAGTCTCTGGGATCACAGCCATTAAGCACCTTGATCAAGAGTTAGAAAGGCTGTTTGTGGATGGCGACTCCCATCTTGTTGGGATGGGGAGGAAAGAGCTGGCTCCACCCCCATCCCATGAGGCCCCGCGTGTCTCCTCACTGAGAGTCCAAATCTGACTGTCCAGTGGCCTCTGGAGGATGGCGGCCACCAAGCTGCAAGGGGGAACAGGCCAAGGCACGAAACCCGGCGCCGGTAACCTATTGCAGGGACTTGGGGGTTTTTGGGGTGGGAGGATATGGCCTCCCAAGTGGTTCTTGGGTTCTGGGAGTCACTCCCAGTGATCTCAGCCAACCAGCCTGGAACCACCAGAGCCACACCTGCAGCTCACTCAGCTGGTGGCTGCTGGGAATCCCTTGGCCCCAAGCATTTCTGTTGTCCTCATTTGTGGTGCTTTTGGCTCATCATCCCAACTATATTTTCTTTCTTTCCTTTCATTTTTGTGACACTATCTTAAATGTCACAAGATTTTTGGTTTTAGGGCCACATCTGGCAATACTCGGGCTACCCTTGACTCTGCAATCAGGAATTACTCCTGGTGGTGCTCAGGGGACCCTGGGTTGGCCGCATTTAAGGCAAGTGCCCTACTCACTCTACTATCTCTGGCCCTAAAGTTTTGGTTTTTTGGCCACCACACCCAATGGTGCTGGTGGCTACTCCGACTTTGTTTTTTTTGGGGGGGTGGGGGAGAAACGATGCAGGGGACTGAACTCGGACCCCGGGGTACAAAGCCTGCAAACTTATCTCCCCAGTCCTGGATCAAAGTATTGAAGGTGGCAGAGGAGGAATAAACTATTCCCACGGGCTGTACCTCACAGAGGCAGCCTGAGTTAACAGGAAGGGTGCTGTAAACCCAAGATAAATCAAGAACATTTTATTTTAAACGGGCCAAAGAGTTTTTTTATTTTTATTTTTTACTCGCTGTTCAATAAACGTTTCCCATCCCTGTCACTGCGGCGAGGGGGACTGCGGCACACTGCCGGACACACCCCGCCTGTCCCCGCCCCTCCTCCCTGCCGGACCCACGTCTCACCGTGAACCCCCGAGAGGTCTGGGGTACTGGGAAAGAAAAGGACGGTGACTCTGGGGATCGATGGGCTTGGAGCCAGGCCCTCGGCAACCCAGAACCTGGCGTCACAAAACCCGGAAATGCGACAACAAGCTACTTCCGGCTCTCTCCGGCGCTCCAGGGGCCGCTCTAGGAGCTCTGGAGGACTTCGTCTCCTTGGCCCCAATCTTGGGAGCCGGTTTGTGGGCTCCCCCAGCTCTAAGAGTCAGGGAGTAAAGGGGATTAAGCGCCCCTCGATATCGTCCTTCTTAGATAACTTAAACTTTTCTCCTACTTTTCTTGTGATGTAAGTAGTCTAAGAATTCCAGTTATCGAACAATACTCCCCTGCTCAGTGATTACGGGTCCTCAGCGGTGGAGCCAGCAGTGGATGGACGCTGGAGAGTTGTCCTGGGTGGACAGTTGCCCAAAGGGGAAGTGCTGGCTTTTCTGGCTCCCCTGAGTACAGAGCATCACTTGACGGGCAGACTTTTCAAATGACCTAAGGACAACAGTCTTCCCTGTCCTAAAAAAAGTGCTTTGCTAATGTTTTCAGGGAGTTTTCACATACACACACACACACACACACACACACACACACACACACACACACGCAATTAAGTTGTCAAAATATCAAAATAGGAATGGAGAGTCAAGGGGTTTGCCTCTTAATCTGCTCACCCCAGTTGAGTCCTCAACATGAGCAAGCACAAGGAAGGAGAAGTGCCCAGCCCCAAAAGGTAGGCTCTCCAAAAACCAAAATGTTGTCACAATAATTATTTTTTAAATTTATTTTCCTTTTTTGGGTCACACCTGGTGATGCACAGGGGTTCCTCCTGGCTCTGCACTCAGGAGTCACTCCTGGCGGTACTCAGGGGACCATATGGGATGCTGGGAATCGAACCTGGGTCGGCAGCATGCAAGGCAAACGCCCTACCCGCTGTGCTATCTCTCCAGCCCCATAATTATGATTTTAAACGAAGAATAAAAACAACTGGTGACATGGTTTGCAATTTGTTTGTTTTTTCAACCACACCTGGCAGGACTCAGGCTTCCTCCTGGTGGGGCTCTGGAAACCATATAGGGTGATGGGGATCAAACCTGGGTCCACTGAGTTTAAGTGTCTTACCCTACCTCTCTCTTTCCAGCCCCTAGGTGGTATTCTAAACAAAATTCCAAATACTGATTATTTTCCCATTCTCTATGGTGTAGTAACCAATTGTTTTCTCTGTTTCTCATGCTTCCTTTCAATAATCCACTTTATTCCTTTCTTTGGTAACTGGCTTATTAACCAACAGGTCTTAAAAACATTATATTCCCGGGCTGGAGAGATGGTACAGCATGTAGGGTGCTAACATGGCTGACCTTGGTTTGATCCCCAGCATCCCATATTTTAAAAAATCACATTCCTATACCTTTTCCATATTCTTTTTTTTCTCTTTTTGGGTCACACCGGCAATGCTCAGGGGTTACTCCTGGCTTCGCACTCAGGAATTATTCCTGGTGGTGCTCGGGGTACCATATGGGAGCTGAGAATCGAACCTGTGTTGGCCATGTGCAAGGCAAACGCCCTACTCACTGTGCTATTGCTCCAGCCCCTCTTATTTCTTTCTAGCATGTCAAGTCATCACTTTTTATTGTAATTTTATTGGGAATTTAGACCACATCCTTCAGTGCTCAGGGGCTATTCCTGACTCTGCTCAGAATTGACCCCCAGTGGTGTTTGAGCACCATATGTGGTGACAGGGATCAAACCTGGGTCCACTGCATGCAAGACATGTGCCTTATTCTCCGCATTACCTCTCCATCCCATTCTGTATTTTAAAAAATAGGGCCACACCCCACAACGTGGTGATACCTGTGGTACTGGGGGTCACCAGGTCACACCCAACAGTGTTTGGGTGTCACGAGGGATCAAACAGCGTCTCAAATTCAGGGGCCAGAGGGATAGATAGTACAGTGCTTGAGGCACTTGCCTTGTATGTGGCAAACCTATTTGGCTCGATCCCTAGCACCACATATGCTCTCCTGAGCACTGCCAGGAATGATCCTTGAGCACAGAGCCAGAGTAAGTCTTGAGCATCACTGGGAATGCTCCCTCCCAGCACCCCATCACCCCCCCAAAAAAAGAAAAAATAGTTACTTATACATTTTCTTTAGGGTGCTGCAATTTGTGTTCATTCTACTGTAAGTCACCGGTGGTATGCTACCCGCTTTAACATGTAAAAGTAATATAGTTTAAGGAGAAAAATCGAGGATTTTGTGAGCTGAGTAATTGTTTTCATTATTTTCACTTGTAAAATCTAACTTATTCCCCTTGTGGTGATGCTGGGAATTGAACCTAGGGTCTCGCAAAGACTGAAACGTGCAAGGCAAGTTTGCTCTAACCCCCGCCACCACGATCCCGGCTCTTCCACCTGTGACGTCTGAAGAACTGTTGGGAGAAAAATGTGCTTAAATAAGTAGCTACCTGGGGCCGAAGGGATAGCTTAGGGATACAGAGGGATAGGCCCCATGACTTTTTCCGCAGTGTTTGGGGTCCTGGTAGTGGTCCCAGAAGCCGTCCGTTAGGTCCCGCAGCTCCCACAAGCACCTGGGAGGGCGGACCACCAGCTCCGTAGGGACCTGCGAGGCTCAGCCGGCTCCAGGGCTGGGCGAGTTGGCGCGGTAGTTATCGGGGTCACCTGGCAGCCGGGGGCGGGGGGGGGGGGCGCCAGATGCCTTCTGGCTGAAGGGCAAGAGGCGGGACAACGGCTCAAAAGAGACCAATTAGCGAGAGCCGCACGGGCCCGCCCCTGCGTCCCCGGAGCCCCGCCCATCAGACGCTCCGCCCCCGGAAGTGCTACCGAGAAACGTCGACCTCCCGCGGTCTAGAGCGACCCTGACCGGCAGTGGCGGCCTAGGGATTGAGCGTCGGTGACGGTCGGCCAGCCTGGCCCACCTGGCCCCTCGGGTGAGTCCCCGGGACCCGTTCTGGGGTCGTGGTGGGGACGCTTTTGGTTTGGCCTCTCGGCAAGCGGCGGCGGCCCGGGCGCGGCGGGCGGCGCTTCCCGGTCTCCACAGCCCGGCCGCCCGCGAGGGCCTTTTTCTCCTCAGGCCCGGTTGGGTCCGCGGCGCCGCCGGCCGGTGCCGGGGGCCCTGGCCCGCGGTGTCGGAGGGACCCGTGTGACCCTGGAGCGTCTCGGGGCGGCGTCTTGGCCCGCCGGGGAGCCGGCGCGCGGGGCCTGTTGGGCCCGGTGGCCCGTGGCGCGCTGCGGCCCGGGAACTGGGGGCCCGAACCCTCGCGTCCTTGGGTTTGAAGGACACGGGTCGTGGCCGGGCCGGCGTCGCAGCTCGGCCCTCGGTGACTGTCAGGGTCGGGGGAGGCCGAGGGTCGCCCCGCGCGGTGACCGGACTGGGCGAGGCAGCAGTAATCGGGCCCGGTGGGGCTCGGGGGGTGAGGTGGGGGTGGGGGCGGCTCTGTCCGACCCCGGAGCGGACCAACCCCCCCAAAAAAGAAATGAAAAGCGTCCCTCGCGTACAGACTTGAGCCGTGGACGTGACGCTTCCGCGGGGCGTCGCCTGCGAGCTGGCGGGTCTGGACTCGTGTGCCGTCGCCCGAGTGGTGCCGTTGAGGTGGTCGCGGGGTTTTTAGTCACCGGCGGAGCTGCCGTCCCCGCGCGGGGATCGGGGGGCGAGGCGGGTATCGGCGCCTGCCTTCACCGTGAGCGTTCTTTCTGCTGTCGCTCCGCAGTGATGGTCATTGTCCTCCCGAGCAGGCATGGAGGAGGACCTGTCGGCGCAGCAGGCGGCGGGATCGCCGGGCGCCCCGTTTCGGTCTCTGGAGAGCCCCTCCGAGGCGGCGTCCCCGGAGCCCCCGTGCATGCAGGACGCCGATATGGAGCTGGGACCCACCGGGGGTAAGGCTGAACGCCGCAGGCCCGCGGGAGGGGGTGGTGGAGGGCGCCGGGTCGGCGCCGGGAGGGGGTGGGGGTGTGTGGAATGGAGGGGCCCCGTGACTCAGCTCCTTCTGGAACCCTCTGGTGAGGAGCACCCGCTTCCTCTCCCGGGAGTGGTGGTGGTCACTCTCTGTTCTGGCTCTTTCTTTCCTTCCCACCCATTGCTTCATCCTGCTTCAGAAACCACGGCTGGCTGGAGTGAGGTCTGAGGTATGCTGCTTTCGCCACCCGCTCAGTCCTTGCCTCACTTTCACTTCCTCGCAGATTTTGAACCTGCCCCTCCCCCTCCCCGGCTCCTTTCACTTAGTTTCATTTTTTCCCCCGTGATGGTCTCACGTGCTCTGCCACCTGCCATTCTGTTGCAACTGCAGTGTTTGTGTGACTCATCCTCATTTTGGCCAGGAAATGCTGGAGAGAGTGCTTTGGGCGGGCCAGAGTGGCCTTTGTGTGCAGGAGACACGGGTTCCATCCTCAGCACCACAGGGTCCCCTAAGCACCACCAGAAACAACCCCTGACCACCACCAGATGCGACCCCAAAACCAAACCAGAATTTTATTTTATTTTTATTTTGGTTGTTGGTGAGCCACACCCGACACTGTTCAGGGTGCTTTCCTGGTTCTGTGCTCAGGGATGTTCCTGACTCTGGCGGGACCCAGGGGACCGTATGTGGTACTGGATATTAAACCCGGGTCAGGCACATGCAAGGCAAGCGCCCTCCCCACTGTACTATCACTCTGGCCCCAAACCAGGATTTTTAAAAGCAGCCATTCAGTTCTCTGGTTAAGCAAAATCCCCTTGTGAAAGTACCCATCTCACCTATTGACTATCTAATACCATTTTTCTGTGTCGCGTAGATAGGTTGCTCTGTCTTGCATTTCTTTTTGATTTGTATAAACCGTATCATGGATTACTTCTGACCAGCTGCAGTGCCCGCAGTAACTTGTGTAGCAACAATGCCCCCTGTAGGAGCATGGGAAGAATGGGGAAGAAGCAGATGATTGACTTTGCACTTGAGAGTCTTACACACCGTTCCAGAGACAGTGCCTAGTTTCAGAACAAATGTCTGGGAAAAGGTCAAGTTTAGCAAATCACAGAGGCCCTGGACAAGTCACTACAAGTCTTGATGCTTTGCTTTGCCTGTTTGCAGAACAGGTTGGGATGCTTACCTGCAGTGAGAAGACTGTCTCATCCTGAAGATAAGCGAAGTTGGGGATTTCATAATTAAACTGCGTATCGCGGGGTCTAGATGTGGAAGGAGGGAATACAAGTGCTGGGAATGGACGGAAAGCTCAGTCGGTGCCTGATAAATGTTTCGTGGTTTCCCTGAACAAATTTGCTGTGGAAAAGGCTACCCCTTGACCCCCTCTTCTGGAAGGGAGCCCTGGAAAGGGCTGCGCTCACTCTTGGCTCCTTTCTCCCCCCTCAGCTCCACCTGTTTCCCAGGTGCCTGCTCTTCCCCACGAGGGAAGCCCAGGAGACCAGGCAGCTGCACTTCTGACAGCCAGGTACCAGGTGAGCTGAGGAACCTTCTGCTTTTCCTCAGGGACTGTTGCTGCTGATTGAGCGTGGCCCTGCCCTCATCCTGGAAGCTTTTTCCATAGCAGATCCCAGTTGGGAAGCTGATGCTCTTCAGCGATCCGCATCTCACACAAATCACCTTCCCTTCGCCCCAGTCCCTGCAGACACTTCTTTCTTTAACCGTGGGGCTGTGCCGGGCGCTTCCTCCATGCCTAAGGGCTCCGGGACTGGCTCCCTTGGTTTTCATCGGCTCTCCCTCCTGCCCCACATGATTGTGCACAGGAAACTTCTCGGGTTCAGCTCCTTCATCCTCTGGCCATGGTGTGGTTAGTGGCCTTATCCCCCAGAGCAGCCAGGTGTGTTATTTCAGGAGTTTGTGACATTCGAGGATGTGACTGTGCACCTTACTCGAGAGGAATGGGGATGCCTGGACCCTGTGCAGAGGGATCTCTACAGAGAAGTGATGTTAGAGAATTATGGGCTCGTGGTCTCACTGGGTAAGGACTGTTTTCTTCCTAGCCTCTGGGGAGTGCCTTCTTGTTTCTGAGTGGCTGTGAGTTCTCTGGGAGGGCGGAGAGCGGCTCACGCTCCAGTCTTAGCACATCGGACTTCTTGTCTCTAAAGTCATTTCTGGGAGTGGGCTTCCTTGTGGGGGGCTGTTCATGAAGAAACATTCTGCTCCTGTTGTCAGTTAACGTGTCCTGCTTTGGGGGAGGCGTCTGTTCCCTGTCAGGAGAGGGAAGCTTGCTTGTGCTTTGCCTACGTGTTCGCCTTCCCTGTCTTCATTTTTGCCAGGAGAGACTATCAGTCCTCCTAGCCCACCGCCAAGCCCTTTCTTTCCTGTTAGCTCAGGGCCTTGAGATCTGAGAAGGCCCATTTTCCTCGGAAGAAGAAATGCTTCCTTTAAAAAGACGCTCAGTCCTTTTTGTTGGCTAATTCTTCACCTCTTAAGATCCCGAAGTTATTCTCCAAGCAGGCAGACTTTGAGAGAGTTTCTATATAAGCGTGAGTGGCGGGGGGGTGCAGTGAGCCGCCTAGCTGCCCAGCCCGGAGTCCTGGGGAACCGCGTCCTGCGCAGCGGCAGCTCCAGGCATTTGCCTCACACTCAGGTGGGGTAAGTTCTTGTCACTAGAGTGGTGCAATCAGCAGCTGAGGTTAAGCAGCTGTGGAGAGTCATCAGCTGGGGTAGTGGGACCCCATGTGAGCGCTACTGCTCTTTCTTTTTTGTTTCTTTTACCTTTCCCGTTCTTTTCTCTGTATGTAAATATTTAATTCTGCTTTTTCTTTTTTCTCTCCCCCCTCTTGTTTTGCTTTGCTTATGCTGGTGGCATCCAAGCATTGCTTTGCTTCTTGGTTCCTCTCAGGATTAGAGAGATCTTACCTTGTGGGGAGGCAGCCTGCCCCCTGAGAAGGTTTTTCAGTGGCTCTTTGATCTTTGTAGGCATACTTCTTCGCCTTCCCACCTCCCGGATTCATAGTGTGAATTCCTGCCCGGCCCTGAGTCATACCCAGGCAAGTGCTTTCTCTGGAGAAACACTTGCAGTCCTTTCAGCAGGAATCTCCAAGAGATGGCCCAGGTGTCGGCTCCCCATCGATATTGCGCACCCCTGCTCGGAAACTACCTTTCCACGATTGTAAGATAATAAATTTGATTGATGGAATAGATGGCCCCCAGGATGCTACCAGTATGTCACATTGCAGATGCTCAGATGACCTGTGTCACGTTTCTATGAGGCCAAGGAAGCCTCCGTTGAAACCAGATGCCTTTTGAACCCAGTTCATTCAGAAGCCATGGTTTGCGGTCGTCTACTCGTGCTCTGAGAAACCACAAAGTTCAACTCCAGCTCATCAGTTATGATCTTTTCCTGATGTTCTCGAAGGTGGACCCTGTGCTGTGTGCCCCTCCTTTTCTGTTATGAAAGAACTCGGTGCCCCTTCTGTTGCCTAACTCGACCCTTGGGCTTTCCTTATGGTTTTTTTTCATTTTAGACTTCTTCCTTCCTTTAAATCCCAGTGGCCCTCTCCAAGGTCCTACCTTCATCTTCCTTATTCTTTGTGGTGAAATACCGACGAATGCATTTAAATGGCCTTTCCTAATCAACAGTTGCTTAGCTCCATCCTTGATGGGGGGCAAATGGGATGGCAAGAGTTCAATTTCTTTATTTCAGGGTGTCAAGTTGAATGTATATTTAACACCTTTATAGTCTGTAAAGTGATATGCAATTGTAAACTACTGTTAATTTTTACCTAATTACATAATATCCAACCATTCAAAACCTGTCTACTTTTTGAAGTACAGAAACTTGTGCTGTTGAACTGAATGTTATCCCATTTCCACTGTTCTCTCTGTACACAAAACACACATGCATACTCCCAGCAGGCATGATGGAGTCAGTAGCATCTTCTTTATAATTTTTATAGTCCTTGGAAAATTACTCTTTTTCTTGTAAATTTAGCATACTCTACCTGAAATATAAATTTATTCACTTACTGATCTGGTTTAATGTTTTGTGCTATAAAATAAACTTATGAATTAGTCCTTGCCATAGCCATAGCTCCATATTCCAGTTCATATTTCCCCCCAAGGCAATGGCTCTAAATATGGTATAGCATCCTCCACTGTTCAGTAGTATCTATAAGTATGAGCAGCTGAATCCAAGAGTAGGTAAGGGTCAGAAAGCTCCACAGGTTGAGTGCAGGCTTTGCATGCTTAGGCCCAAGTTCAGTTTCTGCCACTGCATGGTCCCCTGAGCACTGTAGGAGTGACCCCCAAGCAACAAGTAGCTTTTGAGTACCGTCAGGTGTGATCCGAAGCAAAAAAGAAAAGTGGGTAAAAAGTATAGTCTGTTAATAGTGAATTACTGCCTTGGGGGTCATGCCCAAATGGACATTATCTGTGACTCAGAGCTGGAGACGAGACCAAGAAAGGGGTCTGGATTTTCATATTAGGAATGACAAGTGTTTTATTAGATGACAGCATTTATCAAAGTTGCAGTTAACAGGAGTATTTGGCATGCCCTTGCATTTTTTAAATTTATTTACGTTTGGGCCATAATCGGGAATGCTCAGGAGTTATTCCTGACTCTTAACTCAGAAATTACTCCTTGCAATGCTCGGGGGACCATATGGGATGCCAGAGATTGAACCCGGGTCGGCTGTGTGCAAGGCAAAGCCCTCCCTGCTGGACTCTCACTCTGGCCCCTCCCTTGCATTTTTAATGTCTTTTACTGCCACAACCATTTAGTCCTTTTGGGGAGTGGTGTCCAAGGTTGCACCTGACACTCATCAGGGGTCACTCCTGGCAGTGCTCAGGGGAGCATACAGTGGTCCTGGAATCCAACCATGATCAGCCATGTTTAAGGCAAGGACTTTGTGACTCCTGTGCTTTGTAACTCCTCTGACCCACAAAGGCATATTGGAAAGCATAGAGTTTTTGTTTGGG